TTTAAAGAGAAACCTGTGGAGGAAGGACACAACTCATCATAGTTGGGTGCAAATACAAGGGGTGAAAGGTATAAAGATTTGAGAAGTGATTTGGTGTCCTAGAATGATTAATGAACTAGCAATTAGGTGATCAAATATTGGATTTGTCAAGAAGTAAAGATTGAGCATAGGAGAATCAAGAGGACAATACATCCACTCAAGATACGAGTTAAGGAGAGACTTCATCTCAATGGATTTTAATGCATATTAATTTGAGTTAAGAAACGGGAATGATATCAATGAATTGCGATGGACAAACTTGTAAGTAATTACGTCAATGTAGGTGAGGCTCCATGGAGCACCTAAAAATGTCGTTTTCAAACTACAAGAAACTTTCGAAAGTTTGAGGGAGTGTACACTAGTACGTTGGGTAAACGATTGGAAACGCGTATAATGATGAAATACATGTAGAGAGTAATTATTTTTTACTTCCAGGGTGACTGGAAAGGTATATTGGGTTAAAGGTTCCACCCACATATTAATCTTGAACTTTAATATCAATGGAAGTTGAGCCATGCCACGACCTTGGTAAAGTACAAGTGTTCTCGTATACCCCAAGTTAAGGGAGGTATGCCATAGATGGTGATGCGATAATAATCTGGAATTTATTGAGTTAGACCAATGTGGACCTTTGAGGAAATTTGTCAGAGTTTTGACACAAGGAATGCATTGCATTTGTCTATTAAAAGGTTGTGTGGAATGATTTAAGTAGAATTGATGTATTGATTATTCCATGAGGATATTGTTAGTAATTATTACTCAATCATGACTTCATAGAATGATTTGGGTAAGGATTGGTTAGTTTGGCGACTACATGCAACAAGGATGTAACTAATATGGAAGCGCTATGGTCTAACCAAGGATTAAATGAGAAGGGAATGCCTTAAGTTGTCTGAGTTGACTTGAGTGGAGTTACGGGGTCTTAACTCGTTTTCTTCACGGGGGTAGAGTGCGGTAGAACTTCTCGTTTTTCTCCTTAATTTCATTGCTTTTAGTACTTTTTCAGTCAGTTTTACACCGACTATGTTGTTTTTATTTGGGCATATTACACACTAGTTTGTAAAAGTTTGTATTTAAGGGTTTAGAATACACAGTAGTTTGTGTAAATTTGGTAACAAATTCGTTATCTTACACACTAAATTGTGTAAGTTGGTTAGTGAGTTGGTTACTTTACACACTAGTTTGTGTGGAAATGAGTAGATGAATTAGAAAGTAAGTATCACAAGAGTACAACAACTACAAATATCAAGGAATTTATAGAATTTACAAGCATTTATTAGTTTTCAAACGAGATTTTTTTTCTAGTTTTCGTACCTAAGTTTCGGGGACGAAACTTCTTTTATGAAGGGTAGATTGTAATACCCCGTATTTTTAATATATTTTTTGTATAAATTATTTATTTATAAAATATATATTTTGGGTCAAATTATTTTAATTATGGGATTTAAATAAAACGAGTTTTAAATTTGATCTATACTTACTCAACCAAATTACAACTTATATCTACAACAAGCCCAATCATTCTTTTTATTTATTTGGGACAATAATTTCTCCCTCATATCACCTCTTATGAGGCCTAAATAATTCTAATTTACCCTACTCTATAAATACTCTTTCAACCCCAAAATTATGCCACCCAAAAGATCAAATGGTTAAGAAAATTATTTTTCTCCCTTATTTTTCCCTTTTCTTTCTTTTCCTTTCTTTTTCTTCTTTCTTTTTCCCTCATCCTTACGTGAACAAGATTTTCCATGGTGGAGTTGTTTTGCTGTACTGTTGTTGTCCGCCACCCACCGCCGGCTGGTGCTCCAGCCACCCACTGGCGTCGCCGCCCAGCCGACCTCCCTCTATTAGCGGTCCTCTCTCCCTCCTTTCTCCTCTCTTATTTCTTTAATAGATAATTATGTATACATGTTGGTATTGATTTTTAATTGTTCGAAACATGTTTATTTAGTATCAAATAATATTTTAATGGATTAAAAAGTATAATTTCATATTTTAGTATGGGTTAATTTTCAGATTTTCAAAGATTACAAAGTTAGGGTTTTAATTTATTAAAGATGTGATTTTTAAGGTACTTTTGTGAATTAATTTGGGGCTTTTATATACTCAATGATTCTATGGATAATTTAAGTATAAAGATTTTGATGAAGTTTTAATGGGGTTTTTTTTTTGTTAAACTATAATACTGGAATTTTGCTTAAGGTACTGCTTTTGGTGTTTTATGAAAAGGTTTTGATTACCCATTAAAATAGAGATTAGTTAAGGGTTTTTTAAAATAATTTTCAGATTATTTAGAGTGAATCAAAGTGAGTTTAAGTTGCTTGAAATTTTGTATACAAGGGTAATTGATATAGTGTTATTGTCCTTCTATGTAGGACACTTTGATTTGGATTAGTTGGGCAAAGTTGCGGATTTTGATAGCCTTTCGAGGTACTACGCGTACTCGGAATTTATTTAGCGTGTAGAATCATGCTAGGAATTGTTTTAATTGATTTCAAGTTAGTATCATGCTAGGAATTGGTTGAAATTGGTGAATTGAATTGGATTGTTGAATTGAAATGAAATTGGTGAATTGTTTGTAAGGCATGATTGGTTGGAATAAATTACTTATTGAAATTGGTGATATTGGAATATTTTTATTGAACCATAATTTTATTGTTGGCATGTTTGAAGGCTTGTTTAATTAAACTAAATGTTTAATTTGGTTTGGAATATTGAAAAAAAAAATTTATTATGGTTCATATAATTTTTATTGATCCTTTTAATCATGGGAATTGAGCTATTAAGTGTCTTAGTGCACAGGAATAAAATATATTGCGGTGCCTACTTGCACTTAAGGTGTTTAAACACCGAGGGATAGGATTTGCGGTGCTTTATGCGCTTAAGGTGTTTTTACACTGAGGTAGTTTTAAAAAGGGTTTAACATTAAATTAAATGTGATAACTAATTATTAAAGAATTGAATTGGAATGTTTGATTACTTGAATCATTCATGTTGATTGATTGTGTTGTGGATTAAGAGTCATCACCAAGTCTAAAAATGTAAACAACGTTAAGTGAAAGAGATTACACACCAAAAATCTTGGAACGTATATACCTCGAGTATGGACATATGGGGGGAGTTATGAGATTTTATATTTAACTATAACTTCTACTGGGAGTACATGATGCTGTATTTTCCTTTTATTTTATGTGCAGGACATCCGTCACTTTCATGTGACATCTATGCCTACCCGGTTAGCTCCCGGAGTAGTTTACCCCAATTCATTTGGGCAGGAATTTAGTGGGAAACCCGTTCGATGCGTAATCAAATAAATTAGCAATTTAATTATCTATTGTTTGAGTTGTATACATGTAAACAAGTGAAACAATGTAAGTTGTATGATGATAGGATGTAGGGATGGCAATTCTAAATGGATATCCACAAACCCGATTCACCCGAAATAAATAAATGGAAAAAAATCCGCGTTGAATGGATGAAGGGCGGATGACAGATGAAGCGGATGACGGATCGAGTCGGATTCGGGTGGAGCTCCGTTTCATCCGTCACCCGATCCGTCATTCGTTTATCACCCGATCCGTCATCCATCTGTATAAATATAATATTTTTTTCATATATAGTACTACGTACGTATATTTCTACAAAAAATCTAAATTTTATTTAATTTTATTTTTTTTAAAAATATAAAATTAAAACCCACCCCCCCCAATACATTGTACTATCACTACTATATAACAATTGCAAGTAAGTTCATGATTTTTTTATTTATAAATTATTGCTGTAATATAGAGTTGAAAGTTAATATTAGTTAAGTAGGATTATATTTGTCACACGCTAAGCATTCGATCCACCCGTTTCATCCACGGATTACGGATGGATCGGATGCAGGTGATGGGTTTTGCGGGTGGCGGGTGGATCGGGTGGAGCGGATGGTGGATTTAGGTGGATGCGGGTGAAGCTTCATCCGACCCGAATCCGATCTGTTGCCACTACTGATAGGATGTAAGCATGTTAGTGTGATTCGTTTATGCTTATGTACTCAGCATTGCTGATTGTTGTGTTTTGTGTTTATGTTGGCCTTATCTTTATCTTGGCCCTACGACGACCCATTTCTTATGATAAGTAGTAGGGGCAGTTAAAGAGAAGTTTTTAGGTGATGCGGCATATTCATGTTGGGGTTTGAGCAAAGAGTGAATCTTGTTTTAATTTTAATTCGAATATGTGATTATTATTGTTTATTGGTTTATTACTATTGATTGATGATACTAATGAGCTGGTTTTAAATACATTTGGTTTTGAAAAGGGCCTACAATGGTTTCAAGTTGTAGGTTTGACTTTTCTTGACTTTGACTTGACTTTACTTTTGATTGGCCTGTTGGACTTTGACTTTGTTTTGGAAGGTTTTGAAAAGAGCCTTCCGCTGTGTGTCTGTGATAAATGCCTTAGCCGTTATCACGGTGGCTGTAATGCCTTAGATTTTTTCTATTTCGTATTTTAAAAAGAGCAAAGCAAGTATTTTAAAGAAAGGAAATTCTAGGGTGTTACATTATAGCAGATTATTAAAAGTTATTGTTACAACATAGAAAGAATAGTTTTTTTCTTAAAAAAACAAACAATTATACACAAATTGATTTTTACGGTTTTCTTCTTCTTTTTCCGCGGCCGTTTCTCCGATTGATGTTTATTTCTCTTCGTAGGAGCCCTTTTATTGCCTCGTTTGTCAACTGGATTCTTAATCTGGTCATCACCCACAGGCTTTGCCACACGTTCAAGATGCCTTTGATTATTCTCCTCAGGCCTTGACCTTCACCAGCCAAAAACTCTATTCATGGAGGGGTCACTCCAATTAATAACATCAACATTAGCAGTCCTTCGAATACCAATAACATCTTCAAGAGCAATACGAATTTTGTTAGTTGCTTCATAATACATTGAAAGTGTCTCATCATTTTGGATTGCTAACGTTGAAAGGTTTTGTGCCTCCTTTGAATTTCATTGTTCTGAGCTACATATAATGAATCCTTACGATCGTAATACGATACCTTGATGCCCTCATAATCCCTAACGATATCCTTCCTCCATCGGTTCAAAATGTACTTTGGGATGCAGTCAATATATACAATCTCAATCACCCGAATAATGTGCCGGCACAAGATACCCCGAAACTCAAAAAGCTTGCAGCTACAACTAATTTCGCCTTTTTCTTTGTCCACGAAAACCTTAAACGTCCGCCTCGTTGCTTTCCATACATGTTTCGGGATCTTCTCTTTTGCATCATACAAAATTGTTAAACCAATGTTTCCTGTTTTTATTACATTGGTGTGCTTTAGCCCTATCACCTCGTTCCTCACCTCCATAAACTTCTCATTTGTGTAAGCCTTGCTAAACACCACCTCTACTAGTATAGTGTTGTCATAGTAAAATGGATTACGCTTTGTTTTATAATTTAGGTCTTTTTCCCTTTCCACTAAGCCACCATAAAATGCATTAAATTAATCATGAATTGCATCAACCCAGTATTCAAACACACATATACTTGTACACCACAGTCCATACTTTCACTACGTTGCGTTGATGACATGCCAGCCCAAAATAAGCCACGCCAATAGCCAGGAGCCCACCGATGCCTATTAGCATATGCGTCACTTAACCAAGTGTTCTTTTGTAACTTGTACTTTATAACCATAGCCTTCCATGCATCCTCAAACTCTTCTATGCAAAAATTATCGTGGACAACATGATCCAAATCTGCCTCTATCTCCTTCCATCTCGGTAACTTCCCCAAGTTCCTTGCTGCGTTTTGCTTAATGTGAAATAAACACAGCCTGTGCGGCATATAAGGGAATACTATTTCCACTGCCTTCCCTATAGCCTTACATTGGTTAGTTAGTATTCCTTTTGGGGGTTGGCCCATACATTCAAGAAATTGTCTGAATACCCATTCGAACGACTCTGCATCTTCATGACTGATTAAGGCAGCACCAAAATGGATAGTTGACCCATGATGATTGCAGCCTACAATCAAATGGAGCAAATGACATTTTGTACCTACATATTTGATATTGTGAGAATATAAATGTGAAACCTTTATCAAATATATTATTCACGTTACAAATAACTGATTCCGTAAAAACAAACATTATGTGCTAATGAAACTTTATTATACTTGTTACATAAGAAGGTTGTATCAAATGACACCACATCACCAAAATGTCGGTACATTGCATGACACCTCGCATCAGCCCAAAAAACATTTAGAAGTTTTCCTTCTTGATCCTGTTGGATTGCACAATAAAATTTAGGATCTTCTTCAATCACAATAAAAACATTTAAAGTAATGTTCTACGGCAAGTGCATCCCCTTGGAATATGATAAGGTGACGTTGTACGTGAACTGCATTTATCATATCATGCTTGGTGAATGACAATTTCAAAGGTCCCCTTTTCTCAATAACGAACGAATTATAGCTCTTAGCCAAAGAGATGCCGGCAGAATTGTTTAGTACCATTTTGTCATAACTATCTTGTTTAATACCTCTATAGTTCACCATGCGCCCGGCACAATCCGGATGAAGAGGATGATTGTGATCCAAGACACATTGTGTGATTACAAACCATCCCTTTGACATTCTTCAATAAATATATACCTTACAATCTGTACAAGGAACTTTCTTTTTGCGTTGGTGCTTTCCAGTTTTGCTCCTGTCTTTTACACCCAGCTTACAGTCCATTCTAATACGAGACATCATATGGTACCTCGGATCCTTTCACCCAACACCTCTATGATTAACTCCTCTTAATTTTTACTCCTTCATCATTGTATCTGTTATAACATAAAATTCAAATCCTTTCTTATAAGCGTACTCATGGCAGCACTGGGCAAATTCTTCACCGGATTCAAACAACATCCCCAGCTGGGGCTAGGGCAGCAACCCTATTATTGTCTACGTCTACACTACCATTAGTTTGGTTAACAGGAACATGGTCACCTTTAGAAGACATACTTGCATTTTCCTCTGCGACTTCATTAAGATCGGGAATTATAATGTCGTCATGCTGACCAACTTGGTTGATTTCATCCAACACATTGAGATCAATGTTCACATCTTCACCAAAATATTGGGCTCCACTTTGCATTTACTGAAACAATGCCGCAATAAAATTACATAATTAAAAATTTGATCTTAACAAATAAAAAAATTGACACAAACATTAAAAAAAAAATAATACTACAAATTTAAATATGTTATAAATTATATAATATGTTTAAGTGACTTAATTTTACAGGAAATGTGAAATCCTAAGAAATTCTAAAACTGTCAACGAACTCCTTAAACGGCCAGCACAAGTTGGAATTGCCAGGCTAACATTGAATCACAATCACGAAAGAATGACGAGCACTTCTAAAAATAACTTAATTGCACATTTACACATCAATAAGTCGCATTAATCATTTCAAAGTACAATTAATATGCAAATATAACCCTTAAAAGAAAGGGGAAATCAACAATTAGTGGGAAAAAGATCGGAATCTTCAATTAATAACATCGAAATCACATTGCAGAAGTAGAATAGATATGATACTTACGTAAGTGTAGTTGTCGAATTCTCTGTAGAAACTTTTTTGCATGCTAACTGTTTCAATGGAAAAAATAAAGGACATTTAAGGAAAAAGATGATGTAATTAAGTGGGACCCGTTTTTAGTTTGGCGCTCTGTGACAGAATTCCCGCCCAACACTAGCAAAGACCTGCCAATACCCCAAAAATAATACTGCTCAATTTTCCCTCTCATTAATTTCCCTTCCCTCTTCTTTTTTGTGGGTCCTGCTGAGTTGTCCAAATTCTATTTGTAGTGTGTAAAATCGATTTGTACACTGAGTGTAAATGTAGACTTTTCATTCTATCACACGAGTCCATAATTTTTTTATTCTCTCTACCTCTTTCATTTCCAAAAATTGCATATAAGTCCGCAATTTACAAAGTGATTTACAAAGTGATCGTATTAATCAGTCACTCAATGTAAATGAATAATTTTTTTTACTTAATAAAACCAATTTTCTATTATTTCAGTTTCTCTACTTTCGCCTCAATTGTGGGTTCGGAGTAGCTCTCGACGGTTGGTGTGGTGGCTGCTATAACAACAACGACTCCGCCTTCCTGATCGATCTCAATAGCTATCTCAAATCCCAGGTATTTCACCAACATTTATTATACTATCATAGAAAAAGAACAATTATATACGCTCTAACAAAATTTTGATGCCATCTATGTGAATTACTTCTTCATTGTTTTTGGTTAATTCTATTTTGAATCTTCTAGAAGAAAAAAGAATGGAGTGAGGGACTGAGGGAGTATTTTATTGCTAAACTACGAGTATTAAACGATTGTATTTCATGCCGCAATTTTTTAAAATTCCAATCTAATCTAATATTTATCTATTAACTATTTCTAAAATAAAACGTTGCTGACATCATGTCATTCACATAATAATTTTTTCCCACCTAAATGTAAAGATGTTAATTTTTTTTTCTTTTGTGGAGCTATCATATTTAACAATTTTGAAATTTGAATATTAGAAGCTTATACATTACAATTACAACCTATCAATTTATCTTTACAAAATAAAATAATTGTAAATAGCACTTTAATAAATGGACTCCTACATTGAAATATGTATTAGGCGACATTGAATAGGTATTACCGTATTATATCATAATTTAGATGAAAATCTAAAACTATAAAATTACAAATATTTTTACACAAGGTGCATAATTCTAATTTATATTTATCCATTTTTTTAAATGTATTATAAAAATAGATTTTATATAAACCGTGCATCGCATGGGTTCTAACCTAGTCTAATATATATAAATAAAGTAGGAATTTTTCGAGAGCATTCGGAGAGCCACATAAGAAATATAATTATTTCGACCAATAAGAAAAAATATTTGTATTTTATTTTTGAATTAAAAATTATATCGGCATCTAGATAAAAGTAACGAATTAGATTTGATATATCTAAAATTTTAATGCCACGTATATTATAATCCACGAATTAAATTATTTTAATGGAAAAAAATAAAGTAAAGATATGGGAAAAGATAAATTCATTAAATCAATACTATGAGTATATGAAATCCAAAAAATATAGGAAAAGATAAATCTCCAAAAAGATATTTAATTGGGTTCAAATTATGAAAATATCCTACTATTCAAAAATTATCTCCACATAACTGTACTTAGTGGAGAAATATGGTGAGTTCAAATATTAATTTTTTTAAAAAATTTATGATATGGTGAAAATTATCTCCACGTAACTAAATTTGGTGGAGAAATATGGTGGGTTCAAATTTTAATTTTTTTAATTTATGATATGGTGGAGAAATATGGTGGATTCAAATAGAAAAATACGTAACTATAATATGATAATTTATGAGTACATTTAAATATACATGGAATGAGAATATGACTTCATGATAACCCAATAAAATAAATAAAAATATTCAAATGATAAACGATAATAATAAAGTTTGATACCTACCATTATCAGATAAATTTTAATAGTATTTATGATAAGAAATAAAAATTGGTCGTTAATTATAATTAAATCAAAATTTGTGATACCTACCATTATAAATTGACATATCATACGACACAAACAAAATTTCGTATGAATACAAAACCCCATCAAGTGAATTTTGTGTTAGTTTTTGGTCATCAATGGTCAAGTAATTTTTTGCTTAATTTCTAAAATCTTATGTCTAAATTTGTATTTGTAAATTATTACTTACATTGTGTTAATTTGGGATACTTAACGATTATATGTTTATGTTTTATTTACTAAATTTTGTTTTTACATGCACATCTAACGCATCATACGACACCAACAAAATTTGTTTCAATACAAAACCCCATCAAGCGAATTTTTTGTTAGTAATTTTGTGTTAGTTTGAGGTCATTAATGTCCGGGTAATTTTTAATCCTATGTTTAAATTTATATTTGTAATTAGTACTTACATTGTATTTATTTGGGATACTTAACGATTATCTGTTTATGTTTTGTTTACTGAATTTTGTTTTTACATGCAGATCTAATTAATTAGAGAATTAAATTCGAGCAAAAATGATTGGAAAATCAAAGTACAAGTTTCTCGCCTATTTGACATACTGAATTTCAGTAAACAACATAGCTTAAAGGTTTGGATAAGGTCCTAATGGAAGAGGAGTTATTTGGTTTTTTTTATTTTTTTTTATTTTTTTTTTATATATAAATTGTTTAATTTACATTTATTATATTTTGTTATAAACCTCTTTAGTTTTTTATTAATTAATTTTATTAAAAAAAATAAAATTTTTAATTTAAGTGGCTTAATCAAGTTATTAAAATAACTTAATTTCTTATTTTTAATTATAGGGTGATTACGCTCATGCCTCAATTAACACCAGCTTTGTTCAACACTTTCATCCAAAATTAATTGAAGAAAAAGTTTACTTCTTTAGATACTTTTCAATCGTTCCAATCCAATGCCTTGATTTTTGTCATTATAATGATTTAATAAAAGTTTCATGCATGAATAAACACAGGGATGGACCGCATTTTAATTGCAATTAATGGTCTAGATCTCATTGATGCAATTCATATCATACTACTTTTGATTAAAGATGTAATGGATGTATATTCTCCACGACATTGTAGACAAAATATAACAATGTGGAAGCTAGCTAATTGTTGACTAGCTTAGTTTAGTTACTAAGAAATTTTATGTTGAGCACTCTCAAGCATTTGTGGTTGAAATTAAATTGTAAAGTACTCGATTTGATTCCACTATTCAAGTTAATTTTTTGGCTTTTATACATATATTAAATGCAACTATTTCAAATTAATTTTAAAAATTGTAAGAAGAAGCTAAGGCAAATGACACACGATTTGATGTTGTATACTTATTATATGGATGACTTTCGTTATTATTGGAGATGATGAATAAATTTCAATGCATAGATTTGATTTTAAACAATTACAATTTTTTGATCAATTTTGCAACAAATTTTCATTTATTAGTAAATATATTGATTTACTTTATATAAATGTAAAGATTTAATTTAAATCAATTTTATTTTTGCTAACATAAACAATGAAAAATGATTAAGGAATTAAATTATTTAAAAAAATAAAAATTTATCTTTTCACATTAAAGATTTTAGGTAACGAATGAAATATCAGTATTATTACCGGTAGGTCTAAAACCTTCTCTAACTAGAAGAGCAGCAAATCGTCTGCTCACTGAAGAAATTACAGTTAAAAAAATTAAAATTAAACTTTTGTAATTTTGTCTGAAATTATTAAATACAATAAATCAAATAATTAAAAACCTTAGATGAAATAACATTGTGCATCGCACAGGCTTTCATCTAGTATATATGTAAGGGGGAGTTTTTTTCCCAAGATTTTAGAGAGCCACGTATGATTTTAATTTTAAAAAAATTATTAGAGTGCCATGTAGGATTAGTATTTTTAGAGCGTTACGTATAGGATAGATTATGACACGTAGGATTATTATTTTAAAGCGCCACGTAGGATTAAAATTAAAGGTTTAAATTTATTATAAAAATAAAATATTATCTTTTAAAATTGAAAATTTTATCTTAGAGAAAAGAAACAGTTTATTTATTTCGTATATATACAAAAATACTACTACCTCCATTTTTTAATAGTTGACACGTTTTGACTTT